AAAAAAAAACAAAAAAAAAAACAACGAACAACCCACACACAGCTCATCAACATATTTCACATGCCATGCTTTAGAATAATTATTATTGGCAAGCCTCGATTGCCAGCGGGAATGCCCGGAAAATGTCAAGAGTTCACGACCTATTTCACTGCTGATTCAACACGGGATTAGATTTGTGCACCGCAGGGGAGATAGGGGAAAGTATCAAAACCTCGCATAATATTGAGAAAACGACGAAGGAAAGAGCAGAAAGTGCCGACCTCTGCTGACAGAAATTTTTAAAGAGTAAGTATTTTTTCTACCCCATCAACACAGTTTAGATCATTTAACCCTATCCGTCGCCCTGGGGTAATTTTGTACCCCGGGGTTGTATTCTTCACATTTTTTAATACTTCTAGTACGAAGATCTCTTTGAAACTTTCAGTATTTCTAAAAAAATCATTTTGACAGACTGTTATACAAAGCTTACGGGTCGGGTTAACGAGTAAATCTCCTCTTTGGAAAGTGGTGGCACAGAGTTCCCCGCGTCGTATGGATACGATAGTAATACACGACGTACAGATAGGGTTAAAATTAAGTATTTATTTTACAACCTTATCGACCAGTTTTAGATAATTTCAGAGGCGGGATTCCGATTGTGAGGATACATAATATATAATCATCACCATCCAGTGCCAGATCTGAGACAGACATCGGCGATCATGGTTGTCCATTCATTCCTTTGCTCGGATGCTCTTAAAAAGCTATGTTTCCCTGATCTTTCCCCGTTACCCATTTGTTTAGGTTCCCTAAGTATGTTGCTCTGGGCCTACCCCTGCCTCGTTTGCCTTTATATACACAATACCACATCAGAAATCCAATGACGGTGGCAACAGAGAGTGGAACATTTGTATTTTTTTCTGCACTCACTGCAACCCGCATTAAAAATATATATCGTTTTTTGTTGTTGGTATAATCACTCTCCTAATTTAGCCACATACGTCATTATCGCTGGGTATGACAAAACCAGGCAAATAACTCCATCTCTCTCCCTTTCGGCACTTATATGACCTTATTGTGTTGCAAGTGCCGTAAAACTCTTACTAAACTAACGTAACTCCCCATATTGTGTGTTCGCCCGTTGACAAACTCACCCCCTTTTCTATCCCTCACTCCCCTCCACATCTTTTGTTTCCCTTATTGTCCTCACCCTCCATCCACCCCCACCTCCTCTTCCCATCTTTCGTTTCGCTTTGTGAACCT